AATGGCTTCCATGGTTGACCTTCCGGGCATGAAACCAAATTGGTTCATAGAGACCCGCGTTATTGCTCTCAAACGATGCTCGATAACTCTCTCCCATAGCTTCATAGTATGGCTCATCAACTTAATTTTCCGATAATTAGTACAACTTTAAATATCCCCTTTATTCTTGTAGATCGGTACCGATATACTTCTCCTCCACTCATCAGGCATCTTGTTCGATCGAAAAAATATGGTTGAACAGCTTGGTTAGCCATACTATAGCTATGTCCCCGAGGCATCTCCACACCTCGATTGGGATACCATCCGGTCCCATCGCCTTACCTCCTTTCATCCTTTTCAACGTCTCTCTGACATCGATTCTTGGATTCTCCGCACAAAGCGCCTATTGGTTTCATCAAAAGAGTCATCCAACTGAAAGATTGTGTCCATATTCTCACCATTAAACAATTTGTCAAAATACTCTTGCCATCGATGTCGGATCTCGTCCTCCTTCACCAAGAGATGCTCCCTTTCATTCTTAATGCACTTAACTTGGTTGAAGTCCCGTGTCTTTCTCTCACGAACCCTAGCCATCCTATAAATGTCCTTCTCTCCTTCCTTCGTACTCAAATGTTGGTAAAGATCCTCGTACGCTCTACCCTTTGCCACACTTACAGCTCGCTTTGCAATCTTTTTTGCCACCTTGTACTTCTCTATGCTGTCCACACTCCTATCATGGTACAAGCGTCTATAGCATTTTTTCTTCTCCTTAATAGCCCTTTGGACTTTCTCGTTCCACCACAAAGTATCTTTAACCTCGCCTCCACTTCCTTTGATTACTCCAGACACCTCTGAGGCCACCTTCCGAATGTTGTTTGCCATCTTCTCCCACATGTTGTTTATGTCGTCTTCTTCCTTCCAAGAGCCCTCTTTGATAACCCTTTCCCTGAATACCTCTGACGTCTCCCCTTTCAGTTTCCACCACTTTGTTCTTTCAATCTTAGCTTGTTTATCCCTACGGGCACGTACCTGAAAACAAAAATCTGCCATCAAAAACTTATGTTGAGAAACAACACACTCCCCTGCTATCACCTTGCAATCCAAGCATGCTCGTTTGTTCTTTCTTCTTGCGAGGACAAAGTCAATCTGGCTACAGTGTTGTCCGCTACTGAAGGTCACTAGATGAGATTCTCTTTCTAAAGAAAGTGTTGGCTATCATCAGGTCAAAAGCTACCGCGAAGTCCAGAACTTCCTCCCCCTCCTGATTCATACTACCATACCCAAAACCTCCATAAACTGCTTCGAAACCTGCGCTTATAGTACATACATGCCCATTAAGATCTCCTCCTATAAAAAGCTTCTCACTACTAGGTATAGCTCTAACCAGGCCATCTAAGTCTTCCCAGAACTGTCTCTTAGCACTCTCGTCGAGGTCTACTTAGGGGCATACGCACTAATTACGTTCAAGACCATATCACCAACGATAAGCTTGACTAAGATAATCCTATCTCCTTGCCTTCTCACTCCCACCACACCATTCTTGAGGCTCTTATCAATCAAAACCCCTACTCTATTTCTATTTGCGACTGTCCCTGTGTACTAAAGCTTGAAACCTGTATTGTCCACCTCCTTCGCCTTCTGACCCTTCCATTTAGTCTCTTGAACGCATAATATATTTACACGCCTCCTAGTCGCGGTATCAACTAATTCTCTTAACTTACTTGTAAGTGACCCTACATTCCAACTAACTAAACGGATTCTAGTTGGTTCGACTAGCTTCCTTACCCTTCGCACCCGTCGACTCAGATGCGAAGACCCTTGCTCATTTTTCACTACACCCGGGCGCCGATGTAGCGCGCCACTAAGGAAGCGACGACCCGATCCTTGCTCACTTGACACCATGCCCAGATCACGACTGATGACTGATGCGCATAAATTAACTGTGTCCTCACTACTCTGTTTTCCATTCTTACCTGGTGGGTGTCACTTATAGAACTAAAAGTTTACAATTTTATTCTATAGAATTGGAGTACTGTTTTTTTTCCTCATACACGCAGGAGAACTGCGTACCATTGTATTAAAAAAGGGGAGCCTTACAAAACACCACACACACCCAAAAGGAAACTACAAATCACCTTTGCACCAAGAAAAGAAAAGGATACAACCACAACCTAAAGAACACACACTTCTGAGACAACTAGGTGAAAAGGTAAAAAATACCTTTAGCCCCAGCCAAACCCCACAACTGAATTTCCTCGCTGGCAAGAAATAAGGCTCTAGCCAAACAAGAGGTACACCATCAAAAACACATATATTGTGGTGATTCCAGATGGTCCAAGCCCCAAGAACCACAAAGGAGTTGAGGCCTTTCTGCAGTTGTCCTCCAGCAGCAAGAATAATCTTCTCCCACCAATCATCAAAGAACTCTTCTCCAATCTGAGGGGCAAGGATTTGTAGGCCTACTCTTTGGAATACGCTGAACAAAAAATTTCTGGCAAAGACGCAAGAAAGGAGAAGATGGTTTATGGATTCCTCAGCTTGATCACAATGAGGACACCTCTCTGGAAGGAAATATCTTCTGATTCTTATGTTACATAAGCTCTCACAATAAAAAAAAACATTCAAGTGTCTGGTTGTCAGATTTTGAGGTATACAAAGGAAGGGCAAAAATTTCCTCAAAGAAAAAAAAGGAAGGGTGAAAAATAAGAGTGAAAGCTGAGAGCCCATTGACAATGATAGGGGAGCGAAACTAGACAAGCTAGCAAGAGGCCTTGCTTCTTATTTGATTCTGTGGAGCTGGATATAGAATGCGTCAGTGAAATCCTTTTTCCAAGCCTCAAATCTGATTTCTAATTCTGGAAGATGATACCATTTCTCTGCATCCAGATGCCAGGTTACCATTATGAAAACTTCCATAAACAAAGGTTGCACAAAACTCCATGCCTAGTGAAACTTCTGTACAATTTGTCAGTGCTTAGACACTCAGCAAGTGCAAACAGTGAGGTCACTTATCAATAGGAACCACTCAGAAAAAAAAACTTATCCTTCAGAGATAGTTCATAGACATATGGCACCGAGTCATTTGCAGAACATCTTTGAGGAGATAGTGAGATTCGAAGTAGCCGATAAGAGGCGTCCAGTAAATAGTGCTTGCATTGATGCTACCAAAGCCTTATAGCTCTCAACTGCAGGCTTTTGAAAGTGGCTGATTGGTTGATGATAATGCATTCATGAGGATGGACCGAATAATACAACCATCAATCATTATCCAAACAGTCATCAACTGGTCTTCGAAAGTAATCATAAGAGATGATCATTGTGTAATAGCTGAGAATAGTAAAACCTCCCTCACTGCATGAGACTTTTACTAGGAGTGCCACATGGCCCTGGGATTGTTTTTTAACTCTGCAGTCTGCAGGGAAGGAACACTTATTTTGGGTGAACTTGATGTCCCCATCTAATATCTGGGATATAAGGTTTAATAAGTTCTTTCTATTTAACAATAACTGTAGGTTTAAAGCGTTTTGGGCCAATTGCTACCATATCCCTATCTGAAGCATCTGACTGAAGGTCAGATTAGATTCATAGAAAGCTGAAAACATGTATATTTGCTGGAAGAATGCTCCAACGGAGAATGTTCCCTTTTCCTTTTAATTGAAAAAATGATAATTTCCTCATCTTTATGTTTCTAGAATTTCCATCATCAGTGATGAAACTACAGGCAATTAGGATTGCTCAGTTACTCACAATCAATCCATAATCTCAAAGATGAATCAACAGATGAGTGAGCTCATAGCAAATGGCAACTCTATCATGCAAATAGTTTCAGAATTTGACAAAACAAGCAATGGGAGTCAATATACAGATAGCTTGAAACCCTAAAAATTTCAATATAACTCATGGGATGAATTCATGGTGTTCCTAGATAAAAAGCCTTTCCAAGATTAGTACACAAAAATAAATGAAAAAAATATATATGAAAACTCATAGTGTGATGATTGTTCTTGTGATCTTGTCCTATCAAAGTTTGCCAGAACCATTTTATCACCCACAAAATGGCTAGGATTTGACAGTCTTTCTAGTAGGCATTACCAAAATTTTGCAGACAAAAGATTTGACAACAATCTGGTGGCCAAATGTTTTTGTTGTTACTAATTTTGGCCTGACTTTGGGCAAAACTAATAACTCAAATAGGAAAAAGGAACCCACTGGAGTAGCATTTCATACTAAAGCACTACCTTTAGCCATTATGCTGGCATTCAACTAAATTACCCTTGACTACAGAGAATCATAAAATGGGTATAACCCCCCTAAACAACAAAATGAGTATAACACAAGCCAAACAATTAGAAGCACAATGTGAGATAGGTCCTCTTAAGAATGAGCAATAAAATATTGAAAGGAAAATGAAGAAATTATCAAGGAGTTTCAGCTAGTTGAAATGTTATTTAGGCACATTACTTATGCCTACATATAAGTTAGACGCGATAGGTAACACTGGAACAGAAAGAACAAAATGAATAGTCTAACTTGTGGCGCGTGAAGAATAGATGCCGTCAATTGAATGAATTAATGCTAAATCCAATGAACTCCAAGTCTATTTTTCTTGGTCCATAACAACATAGGCCCCGTTCGCTTCGCTGAAAAAACAAGCTGAAACACTGTTCCGGCTGATTTGTTGTGCGATAAAAACACTAATTCGGCTAGAAAAACAAGCTGAAAAAGACGGATTATAAGAGAAGCGAACATGGCCATAGATTGCAATTTTACAACATAAGCTCGGTCACAAACTGCACAAGCCAGAAATGATAAATTTGTTAGCATTCTTAGGACAAACACTGCATAAAGGTGGACAATCGCAAACAGAATGATAATGTAAGTCCAGATGAAGCAATCACTGCATATACCTGCTGAATCATTCGAGAGCACCTGTTCAATGAGTTTTAGTGATTGTCCTTTTGGATCCAACATCCATGATCTATCCATTAGTGCACACGAGATAGACATAAATTACAGTGCATTCACTTGGAGAGTTCGAATTCATCTCCTCCCACCACACATCCCTCATCCTGCCTGCTGAAAGAACCATGTCTTGCTCTAACCCTCGTCCTTGGTGGCAATGCTGCCCTCAACAAGGTGGAGTACTCTTCCCTGATAGCAACAAGCGGATGTGCATGCTTCTCAAGCAGCTGGCTTCCACCGCCGTAAGCTTCCCTAAGAACAACCGTCTGAGTGCCACAAATCCTGGACAGGTAAAAAATGCCAGGGTGGCGTTCAAACACCTTGGTGAACTTCTGTGGCATTCCAAGCAGCTTCCTCATATTGCTCACATTCTGGCGCTCTGTTCTCTTCGCCACAGTGAGGTGCAGCAGCTCATGGAACACTCCCACATTCCGCTTCTCTGACACGTCTGTGCGGCGGTCGAGGCCTGAAGCGTTGGAGTATGGGCTGGTGTATGGCAGCGCCTGCCACTCCCGCAGCCAGGTCATGCACTTGCTTCTCAGACCATAACCCCTAGTGAAGCTCACCGGGAAGGGGAGGCAGGTGGTATCGCCCCCGTCAGCGCTCTTCTCAAGCTCGGAGACGGCGAGAAGATCGTCCCAGGAGAGGAGGCGGAGCCAGACGCGCTCGTCGCCCTCGGGCTGCTCAAGGGCGAAGTGGTCGGGGTACCGGGGGAGGATGGAGGCTCGGTAATCGCTGGGCAGGCCAAGGTCCCAGCGGAGGAGGTCGACGGTGTGGAGCGGGAGCGAGCGGGGGAGGGTGAGCATGAGGAGACGGCGGAGGCGGGCGACGAGGTCGTCCTCGGTGGCGAAGAGGCAATCTACCTCCCGCTGCCGCAGGACGAACGCCACGTCTGTCAGCGACACGCCGCCGCGGGACAACGCGAACATGGTATGGTATCTGCTGAGGAACTCGAGCAAAGAGTACGCCGACCCACACAGCCTTTGAGCGGACTTCTCGGCGAGGAATTCCGACCGCGAGATGCGGTGGCCGGGCCGGGAGAACACGAGGTCGAGCAGGTGGTGGGCGGTGCGGAGGTGCCGCTCCCGCGACACCGCAGCGTCGAGGGCCCGGTCCTTGACCAACTTCAGCTTCACGTTCACCAGCGTCGCGCGCTGCTCCGCCGCAAACAACGGCGTCCCCGACGGCGCCGCGTCCCACCAGCCCCTCCTCCCCGTCGCCGCGCGCAGCCATCGCCACGCCATGGGAAAGCGCCGCCGACGCCGAGACGCGCCGCCCAGGTGCTCGTCTAGTTGGGCCTAATGAAGTGAAGTGTTGGGCCGGCGGTACGAGGAGGCCCGCAGGTGATTTGCTAGGGGGTTAAACGAAAGATTCCGAGGGGATAAGAAAGCGTGGCCGCCGAGAGAGAGTGAGAGACGCGAGGTCGCGAGGAGATGGCGGACGGCAAGCGATGGGAGGATTCGGCCGTGGCGTTGAAGACCTCGCCGTCCGTGACGATGGCTCGGGGATTGCGCGGCGGTAGCAACCCTCTGGAGGAGTGGAGCAGGCGCTTGAAGGCGATTGAGGCCGGGTTCCGCGCGTGGACGGCGAAGCAGCCTATCCACATCGAGGCCGCGGTGGCCACGGCCGTGGGGGCGGTGCAGGGCGGGGCTCTGGGTGGGCTCATGGGCTCGCTCACAGCCGACGGAGGGTCGCCGTTCCCCATGCCGCAGCCGCCGCCCAACGCCAACCCGGAGGCCATGGCGTCGTTCAAGCAGGCCCAGGTTGTCCATCAATCTTGTCTTGGGTGATTTACGTATTTTATATGTAAAATTCGATCATTTATCCCGAAATTGCAATCGCGGATGTACTAATCTAATCCATATATAATGTTTTTCCTCGGAAGGAAGCAATTTACCATTAGTTTCTCCTGTCTGTTCCACGGTTTGATGGTAATATTAGCATGAATGTGATTATTGATTACAATGACTCGTGTAGGGTGAAGTCTGTCTTCAATTTACAATGTTTGAGATATTGGTAGCGTGTAGCTGGTGTGAGTCTGGGACAACACTAGATGTAGTTGAATGTTGCAATATGGTTGAGATAAAACTAACAATTGATTATGAATTGCATAAAATATTATATTGTATGAATCATCCATTGTGTTCAATAACTACTCCCAAATCAAATTTGAGGAAATGCTCACTTATTTGTAACGATCACCTTATAGTGATAATTTTTGTTGAATTATTTTGCATATCGAGGTTAACAGGGTGATTTGTAGGCTTTAGCTGGTGGACCCTTAGTGCAAGCCCGGAACTTTGCAGTCATGACTGGCGCAAATGCAGGCATATCTTCTGTCATGAGAAGGATACGAGGGCAAGAAGACATCCAGGGCAGGTGAGGGTTCGTAATTTCGTTTTATCTTTGCGTACACTTCAAGGAGTGTTCACAGTTCAGTAAAGTACACAATGTGTTTGATTTAATCTCACTAATGTTGAGATGTTCGGATTTTAGTATCTTCATACATCTGAATCAAAGCTGGTAATTCTTATATTTCTTTTGCCTATTAGGTGCATAAACTGATATCTTGATGCAATACATTAATCCTAGCTAATGCTTGTCTTAAAAAATCCTAGTTAATTAATTAGATATTGTTACTTTATGTTTGACAATGTCTTGTTTGTATAGCATGGCAGCTGCTTTCGGTTCTGGTGCTCTTTTCTCCATAGTGAGCGGAGTGGGAACTCCTAATCCAGTGGTAAATGCAATTACAACTGGTGTTGCTTTTGCAGTATTTCAAGGTGGTTTTTTCATGGTAAGTACCTTGCCGTATTTGTCAATTAATGAAATATGGAGTCACTTTACTGCTATAGTTCCTTGATATCAATAGATTTTATGTATAATGTATTGCTTAGTTAGTTGCCATTTCTGCTTTAAGAGAGATTGAGGTTGAGACAGGACTGTTGTCATATGTGTGGAAAGTATGTATTGGACATTTGACAATGATATTTTTTTCTATTAAATTGGGGGTACATCAGCCAATTCAAGTTTTTCCTTGCTTGCGGTGCTTTATAGTTTGGCCTAGCAACATACCATGGTTGCATGAAATTAGAACCTAAAAACTTATCTGCACAAGGGGCTCGTATATTACTGTATTTTATTTATTCTTTTACAAGCTACCTATAGGCCTTCAGTTCTGAGAAAACAAATTGGAAATATAAATCTTGGTCAGGAAAAGGAGCTATTTTTGAAGAAACTGGTTGGATTCTTGATAGTGGTGGATGGAATTCGCGAAATAGATATTCTGATCAAGTAATTATGGTTTAGTTGAATAAGTGCTCCTCTCTGCTGAGTTTTGTTTTATTGCAGAATTATTTGAACTAGTTTCTGAAACCTAACATATATTTTGGTATTGCTGTATTTTGATTTTTGTTTGAATCACTACTTGAATGTTCTTATCACAAAGAACAACCGACTATTTGCTAATTAGTACTGTTATGTGGTATACTAATTCTCCATTTGGATCTACTGGATGTAGATTGGGCAGAAATTCTCAAAGCCACCAAGTGAAGATACATACTACTCCCGGACAAGAAGCATGCTGCACAAACTGGGTCTTGAAAAGTATGAAAAGAATTTCAAGAGGGGTCTCCTCAATGATCAAACATTACCACTCCTTACGGACAGGTAAACAATTCTTCTCCTTAGTCTCAGACCGACAAGGATGAGAAACATTTGTTGGGTATATATTGATATTCTCTTTTCTGTTGCACTAGTGCTCTGAGAGATGTGAAGATCCCTCCTGGACCCAGACTTCTCATACTCGACCAAATTAAAAGGTTTGGGATCATTGCACTAGCCTTTCATGTTTCCATCTCTTAGTTTTCCTCGACCTAATCTCGCTATGTTTGGATTTGTTAGGGACCCTGAGCTGGTTCGAGCAAAGTGAAGTCACAATTGTCAAACAACTGGTTCTTTCTGAGTTGCATAGGGTTTGAAAGCGATGCCATCTCTATTTTCTTAATAAGCTTTCTAGGCAAGTAAGCAAGAATTTAGCTGTGCTGTAGTTAATTGTTTTTTGGCCGATCACTTTGCATCAATCCTATTAAATTTTGAACAACAGGTATTTATACGCATCTTATTCAAATTTAAACTGGCATTCTGTACATTATGCAAATCCGTGGAAAACAAGGTCCTCCATGTACGTCGCCTCGATTAATTTGGTGTCGTCGCTGTCGTGTATATTTGAGTGAAGCAACGAGGAAATAAATATTGCTTTCTAGAGGTTAACAAGTTCCGACGAGGCTAGAACCAATTGGGCAGCCTACAGGGGAGTGTTCAGCATCCGCGAATTAGCCATGGCCCATGGGGTCTGCTAGCACCGACTGGAGATGGGCTAGAACCGGTCACCAGTGGTGTGACCGTGGTTCTGACTTCTGAAGAGGAGGTGTCGGATACCATAAAATGGGTTACCCCAAGCAAAGATCGAAGAACTGCTTAGACCCTAAAGACAGAACCAACGGAATGAACAAACGAGGTCTCGGCCGAAATCTCCGATTCACCCGAAACCCCATCGCCGAGCCCCAGCGGAAGCAAACGATTCTCCGACTCGTCCGAGACCGCCTCGCCGAGGCCCTCGCGTCGAGGCCCCCTCGTCGAGACCCTCTCGCCCGGGGCCTCGGAAGAAGTGCCGATTCTCCGATTCGCGCGAGGCCGGCTCGGCACCAGCCCCGTGGCCGCCTCTTCAACCGAACTGCTCTGACCGAACGTCGTATCCAAGCACCCAACCACTCCGACAGGGCCGACGATGGCACAAGATCTGGTAAGTGACCGACTACTACACGCCAACATCGCGTCAACCCCCGCCATCTGCGGCGACGCAGACAGTAGGGGTTACCGACCACCGTGTCTTTGCCTAACTCCCGCACTCAAGGACATCATACGTGGGGGAGTCGAGGCGGGTTCTCAGAGCCTCGGAATCGGCGGACCGACCGCTCTGTCCGCCCCGAGCCCCCCTCGACAGGGCCTCGGATCCACTGATCTTACTCCGCCTCGCCCGAGACCCCCCCCGGTAGGGCCTCGGACGAATTGGCCGCGCTCCACCTCGCCCAAGGCCGGGCTCATCCCACAACTTCGTCGCCTCCGCCTCAAAAGTCTCTCTGGCAGGCTGTCGCATCCGATTAATGCGCCACCGCACCGCTTCATCGTAAGTCACGATCGGCGGTCTTGGCTGCAACAGAGAGCGACGGGACAACGGTCGATCACCTTTTCTACCATCCCTTCGACGACAATACAGGTACCAGTATCCTATAGGCGCCGTCTCGCACTATTCCGCTTTGATGGTCTGCTGAGACCCGCATCCGCACTGGTCACTTCTCGGGCCTCGGCACGGCAGGCCTCGGCACGACAGGCCTCGGCACGACCGGCTACGATGGCCGCCGAGCCTCTGCAATCCACCAAGTCAACAAATGCGCAGCATGTTACTTGCAGTGAAGACCATACCGATTAGACATCTACGGAACTCCCACGACAACGCCATGCTTTGCTCTAGGAGTAAATCGTCATTGAATAGTCCTTGCTCCATGTGTAGCTCTCTTATGTACTCTGGTTTCCTCCTGCGGCTATAAAAAAGAGGCAGCCAGACCGTTTCAGGATTTACGATAGAATCACGGATACTCGCACGAACAACACGCCTCGCTTACGTAATTCATATCACCTCCCCTCACAGAGACTCGGGACGAACTCCCTCTCTCGCCTAGCTTGTAACCCCCTACTACGAGCACCCCGGTGCAAGGAATACAAGAACACCTTCTCGAGATGGGCGTATGGCATCCATTGCCCGAACCAAAGATAAACCTTGTGTCTCTTTGCATCTCCATCCGGAATTGGGAGCACGCAACACAATTCACTAGTCGGTTAAGGACCCCGGTTCCAAACATCGGCGATTAGCGCGCCCAGTAGGGCCTCTCGTGTCGACCTAGTCATCCCACCAGATTCCGGATGGCAGATCTCGTGCGATCGTTGCGTCTCGGGATGATCGTCTGGTTCGGGAGCCTAGAATTCATGTCTCTAGGGCACGAGTACGACATGGTACTCCTCTCACCCAGAGCGCCATCAACCGACGACGACGTCTTGCACCGGCACCCCACGCGGCGGCGCGCGCCGCCGCTGCTCCCGTCAAGCTCGCGCCGAGCCCAGCAGCGGCGCGAGTCCACCCTAACACCACGCAAGTACGTAGCACGCCGATCTATGCTCCACCGAATCCCATACCCGTTCTTTGGCACAGAGTCCCTCGCGACGGGACCTGTCCGGCTTAAGCCTCGATAGGGGAAAAGGGTCGGTGGCGCACAGCGATGCCCCATCATCAAGCTCATCCCCCTCCTCCCGAGGAGCCAGCTCGATGGAGCGAGCATGGCGACGGCGCCATCCCCCGCACCCTTTCGGGCTGACCAATGTCGCCGCCTCCTACGCCACCGCCCTCGTCTCCATTCATCAACGTCATGCCCATAACCCCATAGTCACAACTCCAATCCACCCCCACTCTGACTCCTCGGAGGAGGACGAGGCGTGGGTTGGAGCAGACTTCTTCGGGATTCGCGACCCTGAGGCTATGCACCGCTTCATGATCGCAAGCGACTACTGCTTCGGCCATTCCGATTTCGACGGCGAGGACGCTTACGACCCGACTCGTGAGTGTTTCCACGTCGGACTCGGAATGCCGAGCACGGCAACGATGGAGGTAGGGCAGCCAACGCCACACCACCACGCACGGGGGTCCCCCACCGGTGGCGGCAGTATCCCCACCCCGAGCAACTTCGGCGATAGACCTAGAGCGCTCCGTGAGCTTCAAGCCAAGGTCGAGCAAGATCGACTCCTCCTACAAAGAACTCCGAGCCACCCTCGAGCAAGAGCGGCGGGCGCGCAGCGATGGCGAAACGGCTTCGGTTGGGGCTCGCGACGTCAACCGCGCGTGCGCGATGATGAAGGGGGCGAGCAACCCCCTGTCTTCAATCGCGCTAGCCAGAACGTCGCTGCGGCGGCAATACTAGTCCGAGCGATGCCCGAGCCCTCTACCACGGAGGGGCGACAAGTCCACGGCGAACTCCGTGGCCTTCTTGAGACTGCCGCGGTGCAGCAGGCCGAAAGCTCCGCATCTCGACGACGCGGGGACGCCTCGAAACAGCCCTCGGTGCACGACCGCCTCAGGGCCCCCTCGGTGCACGACCGCCTCAGGGCCGCCTCGGTGCACGACCGCCTCGACGACCAACGCGAGGCGCAAAACGGCCACCACATGGGCGGTAGACGACGGCGCCACGGCCACGATGGGGCCGCCCGGGGCTACCGAGTGCACCGAGGCGGTCGCTATGACAGTGGGGAGGACCACAGTCCTTCTCCCGGGCCGCCTGGCCCTAGAGTTTTCAGTAAGGCCGTCCGCAGCGCCCGCTTCCCGGCCCGGTTTTGTCAGCCAGCGAATCTCTCAAAGTACAGCGGCGAGACCAACCCCGAGCTATGGTTGGCCGACTACCGTCTGGCTTGTCAGCTAGGCGGTGCGGACGATGACCTGCTCGTCATCCGCAACCTCCCCCTATTCCTGTCAGACTCAGCGCGAGCTTGGCTCGAACACCTTCCCCCTATGCAAATCCACGACTGGCGCGACTTGGTAAAGGTCTTTGTCGAGAATTTCTAGGGCACCTACACGCCTCGGAACTCCACAGGACCTCAAGAGCTGCTGCCAGAGACCGGATGAGTCTCTCCGAGACTTCATCCGACGCTTTCTCAAGCAATGCACCGAGTTGCCCAAAGATCGGCGACTCGAAATCGTCCGAGCATTCCTCTCCGGCACCACCAGCCGAGACTGGTCCGATAATTAGGCCGGAGCGCATCGACCACCACGATCCGCACTCCTCGACATCGCCACCAACCTTCGCCTCGCGCGAAGAGGTTGCGGGGCCATCTTCCCAACAACGACTCAAGGGAAGAGGCGGGAGGAGACCCCGGCCTCGACGCCCGCCCCCCGAAAAAGAAGGGGCGCCAGGGAAACAGGAGGTTCTCGAGGTCGGGCTCGTCGCGTCAGCAGACCGCATAGAAATCCCGAGGCCCGGGCTCTTCGACAACATGCTTAAAAGACCCTACCCATACCATCAAGGCCCTAGTAAAGCACACCCTCGAGGAGTGCACCATGCTCCAGCGATACTACGCCAAGCTCGGGCTCCCCAACGACAATGCCAAGAAGAGGGGCCAGGGCGACGGAGACAACGACAAGGGCGACGGGTTCCCGAGGTACACAATGCCTTCATGATCTTGGTGGGCCCTCGGCGTGCCTCACTCACGACGACAAATGAAAAAAGGAACGCCGAGAGGTCTTCTCGGTTAAGGTGGCCACTCCCGGTACCTCGACCGGGTCTCGGGAGGCGATCACCTTCGATCGGGATGACCACCCCGATCATGTCCCAAACCCCGGCCAGTACCCGCTCGTCGTTGACCCGATCATCGGGAACACCCGACTCACCAAGGTGTTGATGGACGGAGGCAGCGGCCTCAACATCCTGTACGCCAACACGCTGGAGCTCCTAGGGCTCGACCAGTCACAACTCCAAGGCGACGCCGCGCCCTTCCACGGCATCATGCCAGGGATGCGCGCACGACCCCTCGGGCACATAGACTTACCTGTCTGCTTCGGCACCCCCTCCAACTACCGCAAGGAGACCCTCACCTTCGAGGTGGTGGGGTTCAAGGGGACTTATCACGCCATCCTGGGATGGCCGTGCTATGCCAAGTTCATGGCGGTCCCGAACTACGCCTACCTCAAGCTCAAGATGTCGAGCCCCAACGGTGTCATCACTATTGACTCCACGTACGAGCATGCATACGACTGCGACGTC